TTCACTGTTTACTTTTCCTCTACTTCCTGTACTATTTACACTATCCACTCCTATTTCTCTTGAAAGAGAAGTGATTGGTCACACACTTCTCACCCCGCTCCAATCCGTGGTTACCATCGAGGGTACACGGATTCAGTGACTGGTCTACGTTTTGGGAAGACGCACTGGGAGGGACCCACCCTTCCTAGTGGCAGTCGGAAGACGCACTGGGAGGGACCCACCCTTCCTAGTGGCAGTCGAGCATTGTAGACGTTCTGTTTCATTTTCCTTTACCTATACTTGGGACGCTTTGTATAGGGGGATATGGGACAGGAAACGAGTAAGCCCGCTAGGGGCTGGTTCGCGTGTGATTTAGTTGAAGATAGAGAAGGTGAAGAACTGGTTAAAAATGTTGCAAAGATTGCTAAAGTGTGTAAAATTGCTGTGCCTTCATGTGGTAGATTACAGCCAGAAAGCTGGCGTAGATTACTGACAGAGAAGAAAGGCAAGCTTACAGATAATGATTTATTGCGTACTGCTGAAGCATGGTACAGAGTAGAAAGGCTATCCAGCAGGAGGGTTGGGTAGAGGAAGAGATAAATCATAAAGGGTTAAGAACTGTATGTATATCATAATAATTGTGTTACTGGGAAGTTATCCCAGCCAGTGCCCTGTCGGGGGTTCCAGGAGGTGACCACTTCCATCATCCTGTCAGTAATGACCGAAATGTAGCTGACCATGGTCACCATCCCACCCCAATCTTAAAACGCTGTGGGGTTTTTGTATTTTGTGTTAGCCATTACCCTGGTAGAGGGTGGGGGTTTAAATGAAATGTTGTGTTTTTGCTTTGTAATGTAATTGTCCTTCTGTCTTGTTACTGTACAGCGTTGACATGGTTAAATTCGTGCTGGCAGGCAGTCTCTCTCTTGTTCCACTCAAATCCCCCTCTGCTAAAACACCCCCCCCCCTCCCCTCGCTTCTGTGAGACGCGGGGGGGAGGGGGCGGAGGGGGGTGGTGACATGCTTGCGATTTAGGTCTGTCTCTTCGGTGTTCTGTAGAGTTATTCAGAAGCTACTGATAAGATTTTAGCAATGAAATTTTTGCTAGAAAATATTCTAATTGTGTATTTTGTTATCTCAATAGAAATTGATAGGATGGTTAGGGAGTGAATCTGATGCAGGAATAGAAGTTATTAAGTTAGTATATGTTTCTAGAGACAGCTTTGTGGGCTGTTAGATGTATAATATTCACAACTGTCTTATTTAATCCGTCAAGTCTGTCCACAGTTCAGATTTTCATTTTGCCGAACAGAATGTTACTTCCCATGAAACCCACGCCTCCAGAGAGACTTAGTATGCCCTAAAGGAAAATGGCCCCTAGAACAAAAGTAGGTTGTCCTTAAGTGCCTTCACTCTGCCCTTAGTGAGGTCATATCTGCCCATATATCGTGTCAGTTCTGGCCATCCATGGCTGACGAGATCTACTCCTATCATGCTCATCTTCATGCTGTCTTCCTTAATCCCCACATATTATGAACAAGAAAGTTACAATTACTAAAATAATCCTGCTAATGTTTCCCTATATCAGAAAAGTGTCTGTGACAAGTGATGGTTAATATGTAGAAAGGATATATATATACCGATTCACGTGTTAAGTAACAATATGTATTAACTTTGTGTACAAAAAATTGATAACATGCTAAAAGAAATTTCTAATAAACAAAGATTTCTTGAACAAATGGTAATACAATTAAAGATTGGTCTCAAGATGTTTTGATCTAATTGAAAAGAACCAGAAAACATTATGAGCCTAACTACTAACAAATGGATAAGGGGGGAGGGTGTTCCAATCTGTCTTTATTGGATAATGTTAACCACCAAGATTAAAGACTGACTAACATTTTTTTTATTTTTTTTAATGTAAGCCCAGATATTTTATTATTATATATGCATAGAAGTCGAGACTTTGGGCATTATAGTGTATTGATTCTAGATCTGTTACTAGCAGCAAGTGCTTAGCCTTATGCCTATCCCAGGCATGCTTAAACACTCCTTTACTGTGTTAACCTCTATCACTTCAGCTGGAAGGCTATTCCATGCATCCACTACCCTCTCAGTAATGTAATACTTCCTGATAGTATTTTTTTATTTAAACCTTTGTCCCTCTATTTTTGAGACTATGTCCTCTTGTTATGGTAGTTTTCCTTCTTTTAAATATAGACTCCACTTTAACTGTGTTGATTCCCTTTGTGTATTTAAATGCTTTTATCATATTTCCCCTGTCTCGTCTTTCCACAAGGCTATACATGATAAGATCCTTTAACCTTTCCTGGTAAGTTTTATCCTACAATCCATGAACCAGTTTAGCAGCCCTTCTTTGAACTTTCTCTAAGGTATCCATGTCCTTCTAAGGATATGGTCTCCAGTACTGTATACAGTACTCCAAGTGAGGTCTCACCAGTGTTCTGTACAATGGCATGAGCACTTCCCTCTTCCTACTGCTAATACCTCTCCCTATACAACAAAGCATTCTGCTAGCTTTTCCTGCTGCTCTATTACATTGTACATTGTCATTAACAGAGAGAAACTGGAAACCAGAAAGGATAAATTAATGTATAGCTAAATGTAAAGCTTAACAAAACCTCCATTATCTTTTTCATTTATCTCGCAGAAAAACAATGTTATTTGTCTATTTTGTAAGTTTTAATACATTATCAGTGAAGAGTAAAATAAGTTTTATCCCTTTTACGAGACATAAAATTGCGATAATGTATATTTGTGATGTAAGTAAGAGTTATATTTTATAATAGGTTGAAAAAAAAAAGAGAGAGTCAGGGATAGCGTCTGTCTCTACGAGCAAAAGTCTGGTGTGGGAGATGTAGTGGACTAGCCACTGCGGGATACCCACGGAGTGAAGCGTTCGAGGCCTGTACAGACAGATGTGCTTTTTAGCCTTTTATTATTTTTCTCTAGGGAAAGCATAGGGCCAGTTAAAAGTTGTTGTACATGGGCTATTTGCAGCCTCCATTGCATTTCTACTTAGTTCTGATTTCTGATGTATCCTCCACTGCTACATACCCACGCCTCCATATGGAGACCTGTCTGCTCCCTTACCTGCCCACCCCTGCTTACTCCTACTCCTCCTCCTACTCCACCTTCTCCTCCTTCTACTTCTCTCTCCTCCTCCTTCTCCTCCTCTTTCTCCTCTCCTCTACTCCACCTTCTCCTCCTCCTACTCCTCCCTCTACTTCACCTTCCACTCCTCCTATTCCTCCCTCCCACTCCACCTTCTCCTCCTCCTACTCCACCTTCTCCTCCTCCTCCTCCTACCTCCTCCTCTTATTCAATCCTACTCCTCCTATTCCTCCTTCTACTCCACCTTCTCCTCCCTCTACTCCACCTTCTCCTCCTCCTACTCCTCCCCCATCTCCACCTCCTCTTACCCACCTCCTCCCCACTCCACCCTTCCTCCTCCTACCTCCCTCCCACCCACCTTCTCTCCTCCTCTACTTCTCTCTCCTCCCTCCTTCCTCCCCTCCCTCTTCTCCTCCCCACTCCACCTTCTCCCTCCTCCCTACCCTCCTCTACTTCACCTTCCACCTCCTATTCCAACCCCTCCCACCCACCTCTCCCCTCCTCCCACTCCACCTCTCCTCCTACCTCCTCCCTCCCTCCCTTATTCAATCCTACCTCCTATTCCTCCTTCTACTCCACCTTCTCCTCCCTCTACTCCACCTTCTACTCCACCTTCTCCTCCCTCTACTCCACCTTCTCCTCCTCCTACTCCTCCCTCTACTTCACCTTCTACTCCTCCTACTCCTCCCTCCTACTCCACCTTCTCCTCCTCCTACTCCTCTCTCTACTCCACCTTGTCCCCTACCTGACAACATTATATTTTGAAAAAAAAACAAAAACAAAAAAAAAAGTTGCTCTGGCCCCTCTTCCGCCACTTCCCAGGGGGGAATACCACACTAAAAAAAAAAATTATTATTCATACTGTTTTGGGCACTCTCAAGGAAATAGTGCGGTCCTGACCCAGATTCCCATGGAAGTAAGACACCTGTATCATCACTGGGAGGTGGCTGCACCTCATGTTTTCTTCACTAAGTCCCCAGAAATCTCATAAAAGGAACCTGACTCAATAAAACATGAAACACTAAAAATCGATATCAGCTCTCTACAGAGGGGGGGGGGGCAGCAAGACAACTGTAAATGGAAAGACAAATACCCTCAATCTCACACAGAAATAGGTGAGGATATCTCTTCTACTACTCCTCATGGTTGCTTTGAACAGATGAAAGAAGAAATAAGACACCTCTCAACAAGGCATGCAGTAGCTTTGCCAGATCCTGACTCCACTCTGTTTGTGGATGAAGAGGAAAGGTACCATACTGGATTTGCTGTTGCTACAGAAGATCAGGTACGTCAAGCATCTTTACTTTCCTCACCCACATCTGCTCAAGACACCAAATTGACAGCCTTCTCAGTGGCATGCAAATTGTTTGTTTCTGAAAGACAAGGCCATGCAACAGGAGTGCTCACTCAGGCCCATGGTCCTCGAGGCCGCCAAGGGCCTATTGGATTTTTCTCCTGCCAACTGGATATTGTGGCCAGAGGACGTCCCTCTTGCCCTCGGGCCGTCTTTGCTGCCAGAGAGCTCATTGAAAGAACTGGAGATCTTGTCCTTGGCCACCCCCTGGTTGTCTTGGCCCCCCATGACATTTCTGCCATAGTCAACCAGGTCCAACTTAAGCATGTTACTCCTGCCAGGCATCTTCGCCTTCAATGTCATCTTTTGTTGCCTGACAACATTACCTCCAAAGATGTCAAGTTCTCAATCCGTCCACTCTTCTGCCACTCCCTGAGGGGGGTGTATACTACGGATTCATCATGGACGAAACTTATGTTTTTCTTCTCACTGGCACCATCAAGAAGTAAATGCATCCCAACCTATCCTTTCATGATGGACAAGCACTCCTTCATGACGGAGCAGGATATGCCTTCTGTACCATGTGGTACAAATCAAACATCACTCCTGAAACCTGCTATGAAGATGAACTCTATCATCTGGTCGAAGTAAAACTCACTGCACAAGATTTCTACTGTGATTCTGAAGGCAACAGTATGGTCTTGATTCATCTACCTCCGGAACTCAAGCATTTGTACCGTCATTGGGACACTGCCATTCCACATGTCCCTGTGACCAAGTTGAAAACAATATCATGGAATGATCTTGGGCCTATGGCAAAAGCATGGGCCACTATGGACGAATTACAGCTACAGGAAAATGGTGTTGTCAAATATCCAACAACTGACCACCTAAAAGCATGGTGGAGTCATTTCCTGGAGAATGAGTTCCAAGATTTAACCATAGTGAATGACTACGACCCAGATACACCTCATGACTGTTTTGAACAGATGAAAATAGAAACAACACATCTACCAACTGTGCATGAAGACCCATTGGTAGATCCCGATCTCACCCTGTTTGTGGACGGCTCAAGATATGCTGATGAAGAAGGAAGATACCATACAGGATATGCCGTAACCACAACAGATGAAATTGTCAAATCATCATCTTTACCATCAACTATGTTGCACAAGAAGCTGAATTGCAAGCCCTGACTTCAGCATGCAAGATCTCTGAAGGAAAGCGCGCCAATATCTACACGGATTCAAGATATGCACTGGGCGTGGCTCACGACTTCGGATTAATTTGGAAAACAAGAGGATTTCTTACCACCACCGGTACACCAATCAAGCACGGTTCCGCAATCAAGGAGCTGATGGACGCCCTCCTACTCCCAGAAGAAGTGGCTACTTTGAAGATAAAAGCACATGGGAAGTTGGACTCAGATGAAGCAAGGGGCAACCATCTAGCTGATCAGGCTGCAAAACAAGCTGCAAAAGAACCACAGGAAGTGGAAAGAAGAGTGTCCGGAAATGAAGAAACTCCCATATTTACTCTGCAGACTCTTCCAACTAACCTAAAAATCCTGCGGGAACAACAGGCTACAGTTGCCCCTGAAGAAATACAGAAGTGGAAACAGAAAGGGGCAGTTCTGAAGGATGGAGTGTACTCCAACAACCTCAAGTCCTGCCTCCCTAAGAATTTGTACCCAGCAGTCGTACAATGGGCACACGGACCTGCACATTTATCAAAGGATCTAATGAATGCTCTTGTACAAAAATACTACCTCATTGTCCCTATATGATATTCTATTTGGGACTGCACCTAGGCTAGGTTGCTATTTTCCCCAACAACTACAACTTCAAACTGATGTCTTAGTAGATTATGTAACTGAACTCGCAAATGCTTTAAACAAAATCCATGCCCAAGTTTTCTCTTCAATTCCAGATCCTGATTCTGACACAGGCAACCACAGTCTGCTCCCCGATGACTGGGTTCTGGTCAAGAAATTTGTGCGAAAACAGTAAATGTCCGTTCCAAGTTCTCCTGATCTCCCCTACCTCTGTCAAATTGGCCGGAAGGCCTAACTGGATCCACGCTTCCCATTGCAAGAAGACACCTGCCCCAGAGGAAGCTAACTCTATGCAACCATGTGCCCTGGTACATTATCTCCTTAGTTGGCCTCCTTAAAGCCCAGCAGGTGGCCATCACCAAAGATGCTAGTGGGTACACCTTCTGGTATAATTCATCATGTACCCGTGTGGCTACTTATACTTTTGACTACTGTGACATCGTAGAATGCCCATTTCCCACGTCACAGATTCAGAATATCTATAGAGATATCCCTCATTCAAAA